GGCACGGTCACCTTTTTGTTCCTCTGTATTGTCACATGGCACCTGCTCTTTATCCCTGCTCCAGTAGGAGGGGGCTGGGGTGGGGGTGAGAGGCTGACACTGATAGGAGGCAGGACTTGTTGATACACACCTATGGCAATAGAGCACTTGACTATTTTCAGCGATGCTGACATCACTCAGCAGGGCTATGTGTTTGTTTAACTAGGGATCAAGCCATCAGGTTCCCTAGAGTTCTCTTCCTTTATTGCTCCCTCTTTGACCTTCCTACCTCTAACCTAGCACCTGAGGTGCATTCTCTGGAGTCCCAAGTGTATCCCACTGGTCCCTTAATTTGCTGAGGATCCCAGGATCTCATCTATTAGTGTGCGCATGCACACACACACACATGTGCGCGCACACACACACACACACATGCTGGCTCACCCTTTTCTGCCTCTCCCATCCCCCTTTCCTGCACTTTGGCTTCATGGCCTGAAGGACTGGCTGGGGATGAAGTAACCTCTCCTAAGCCCCACCCCACCTCAACCCCTATTCTTGGAATTAGGAAGTATGGTAAGGGCACCTCCTCACCAGGATTTGTAGCTGCAGATTTGAGACTTTATTATTGTCCTGGAAAAACTGAGGCAGGGAAGGAAGGCAGAGCCCTTGACAGGAAAGACAGAACCCAAAAGTCCTGTTTTGACAGCCAGGGTGACAAGGCCAGCAGGATGGTTTGAAAAGGGCATTTTGGGTGTCACTCAGAGGGCAACCTCCAGATGTCAGGGATCAGTGCTATCCCTGGTAAGGCTAGACCTTTCCAACAAGAGTACTGGAATTGGAGTCAATGGACTCATTCAAGTACCTGTCCCACCTCTCTCCAAGAGTCATCTGTGAAATGAGAGGACTAGATGAGCATAAGGTCCTCAACCACTAACCAAAATGTTGGCAGTTTGAACCTGCCCAGTGACATCATAGAAGAAAGGCCTGGTGCTCTGCTTCTGAAAAGCTCAGCCATTGAAAACCCTACAGAGCTCATTTCTACTCTACTACACATGGGCTCTGGTAGCATAGTGGCTAAGACACTTGCCTGCTAACCATATGGCTGGCGGTTCAAACACACCAGCCACTCCTCGGAAGGAAGGTTGGGCAGCCTACTTCCGTAGTGATGCTGCCTCAGAAACCCAAGGAGGGGTCACTATGAGTTGGGGCCGACTCGACGGCACATAACAATAACAACAACAACACACTGTGAGTCGGGATCCACGCTGCAGCAACTGCACTGTTTTTGTTTGTTTGTTTTTTGGACTAATACAGTCCTTAATTTCCATTAACTTCTAAACAACACTTTCTATGAGTCTGATCGTCTGCTAGGTTCTCTTTCCTGTTTGTGTGGTGTAAACTCAGGATTGTGAAAGCTCCCAGAACATTCCTTCCTCCAATACCCAATTTTTAGGATGAAATGGGTAGACCAAAAAAACAAACCAAACTCACTGCCACCAAGTTGGACCCGACTTATAGTGACCCCTCCTTGGGTTTTAAAGGTGATATCTCTACAGAAATAGATTTCCCAACCTTCATTCTAAGGAGTGGCTGGTGGGTTTGAACCACCAGACTTCTGATTAGCAGTCAAATGCCTTAGACACTATGCCACCAGAGCTTTCAAAGTGGGTAGGGTGTGTGGGGAAAGGGACAGAATGTGTATTCCTGGAAATTTTCTCCTCTGTCAGCCTGTGTAAGAGGGGATCCCCTGGCATCTTGTCACCCATCTGTAGGGAAGCCTGCCCAGAAGGGCAGGAACAGTCATCCACCTATTGTTCTCTGAAGATTGTCCACCACCAACACTCCGTTTTCTGCTTCCCTTCCCTGTCAGTGATAGCCAGGAATGGCCGAAACCAACACTAGCATACTGGCAGGAGAGATACAGATCATATCAGCTAAAGGAGATTAGAGGAGAAAGAGACACCCCTCAGAGTGATGGTTAGGAAAGGCTACAGAGGAGAAGAAGAAGAAGGGGAAGAAGAGGAATAAGAGAGGGAGGAGGAAGAAGAGTGCAAGAAAGACTTCAAGGTGGGCAAGTCTAGGAAGATAGAAATGAATCAGGGCATCTCAGGTAAGGAGGAAAGTGTGAGCAAGGACCCATAGGTGAAACTGAACAAAGTTTGTTGAATGGCCGAGCCTGGGAGGTGTGAAGGGAGCCAGCAACAAATCTTCCAAATCTACCCAAATGGGCTCAGGTGGTGAAAAGACTAAAATGCCAAAATACTAAAGTTGGGTTTGATCTTTCTGACAATGAGGAAGCTGAAGGCTCCTGGGCAGGGAGTACAATTAGAGGGTTATTGCAATAGTCCAGGTGTGAGGTGGTGGGACTTGAGCAGACTGGGGTGGACTCTATAGGAGGCAATTGGCAGGAGAGATGCTGAAAGAAAATTGCTGTAGGATTCAGTGAACAGCTCAATGTGGAGGCTGAGGGGATAGGAAAGTGCAAGGGTGAGGGTAGGGGGTAGGCCTGTGTAACAGGAAGAAAGTTATCATTGAGGAAACAGGGAAATCAGGAGGAGAAGCTGGGTGAGTCAGGTTCAGGTGTTACCAACCACCCTCCCCACAAATGCACTAGCCTTTGAAAGCAAACTGGGAAGGGGTTTTGGGGGGCTTCTCCTGCTGAGTGGCATGAAAGGAGTCTCCCATCACCTCCACTTCCAGGGGACTCCTCTCTGCTGATTCAAAACCTCCCTCCACCCCCTTGAAACTTCTGGCAATTCCTTTGTGAGTAGCCTGTTCTGTAGCATGAGACAGAGTCCCCACACCACAAGCCTTTCTCCAAAGTAAAGCTTCTAAGTTCATGCTCCCCATTCATTGCACCCAAAGGGCTTGCTAGGCAAACCACTTGGATAGCCAGACCCTTCCAGATCCCAGGCAAGGGTGGGGAAGACCAGTGAGGCCATGGTGCCTCACAGGAGGGTGAAGGGCAGGAAGCCTCTGACTAGTCTCTCCTAAGAGGAAGGAAGCACCCTCCCATCTTAATGATAGTAATCATTGCCGTTACCATTTATTGGGTGTCTATGAAATGCCAGCAGTTTCACACATATGATCTAATTTAATCCTCATAGCCACCTTCAGGGACTGTTATTATCTCCATTTACAGATGAAGAAACTAAATCCTTGAACCCGGGTCATTCTGACTCTAAAAAATTGTGCTGTTCCCCTTACACTACTCTGCCTCTCATTTCTCCCACTGAGGTGTCACACATGCCATCACCCTTACTCATTTCTGTCCATGTCTCCTCCAAAACATCACTTACTGATTCATTGCACAAGCATTTATTGAATACTTACTAAGAGCCAGGTACCAGGCCAAGCACAGGTGCTATGGGTAGGTTCAATCTCATCTTCCCTTCCAGTTGGGTACCATCCGTGGGAGTCTGCCAGCATCTAGCCCTTGCCTATAGTTCCCTGTGGACCTCAGCATCCTGACCCCAAAAGAGTAGAAGAATATACCAGCCCAATGTTCATCAACTTGAGCACAATGTTGTCAATAATAACAACCCACGTTATGTCATTCTGTACACGTAAGGAGCTCTGATGGACCAGTGGTTAAGGCATTCGACTGCTAACCAAAAGATCAGTGGTTCAAACCCATCAGCAGCTCTGTGAGAGAAAGATGTGGCCATCTGCTTCCATAAAGAGTCACAGCCTTGGAAACCCTCTGGTACAGTTCTACTCTGTCCTATAGGGTTGCTATGAGTCTGTATTTTGGTACAAGTTATGTAACCCTTTTGCCTCTATTAATTCATTTGATCCTCACAACAGCCCTGTGAGGTAGGTATATTCTCCCCATTATACTAATCAGTTATCTGGGGATCAGAGAGATAATGTCACTCATTCTTCCTCACCCATAAGGCCAGGACTAGAACCCAGGTTTCTAGACCTTCAATTAATGCTATTTCTATTGCCCTCTCCCCAGTGTGTTCCCCTCTGAGAACATCCTCCGATCTCCTACGTTCTCCCCTAGGAAGCTGGGGGTATCCCTAGCCCCCTGAGTTGTTACTCACAACCCAGTCTCAAAGCTTTTTCCAAACTGGCTGCGGCCACCCCATACTCCCCACCTCCCAGGCATAAATCTTTCCTCTAAGCCTGCCCCTCATTCCTCTCCCTCCTTTTTCCTCTAAGGTCCTTGAAACAAGCTTCTTCCAGGTGTAGGAGGGCAGGAAGGGGACCAGTAGTTGGAAGAGGGAAAAGGAAAGGTTCTTGCAGGGAGCTCCTCTGGGCCTCAGGGGCCCTGGCACTTAGCTCTGCCCCACTCAGCTCCTGGAACGTCAGCAAGGTTGCGTAAAAAGTGAGGAGGAGAGAAACACTAGTACACAAGGGTGGGGAAAAGGTTAGGCACAGGAAGCCGTGGGAGAAAGAGCCACCAGCGGACCATCCTGGTTTCCCCAAACACACCATTGTACCCTGGGGAAACCTGTTGGTGAAGTCCTAGACGTCTTGTTCAAGAAGGGTCCTCCTGAGGTCACCTCAGTCATCCCCCTGCCTCCAGACAGGCTGTTTTCTCTGTTTCTTCTAAGTGGACTGGCTGAATGGTATGAGCCTTTCTGCCAGGGAAACTGAGGTCTGGGGAGGGAGAGTGGACCCCAGGGGTCCAGTAGAGGGTAGGATCCATGTGCTAAGTCCCAGCCATGATATCTTCCCTCCTACTCCTACCTCCTTTTCACTGGTGTTCGGCGGGGGTGATGGTGATGTCACAGGTATGAAGTGCCAGTCACATGCTGGACGCCAAGCAAAACAGACAGGGTGAGCGTGTGCATCATCAGTGCCTGGGAAGGAAGGCCACCAGGGGAAGTGAGTCTGATGGAAAGACTTGAAAGAGGGAAGGGAGGCACCTAGCTGGATGGGGGCGGAGAAGACCAGGATAAAACTCTGCTGCAGTGAGGACCAGAGGAAGAAGGCCCAAGCTGGCACTGGGGAGGGATGCCCCCTCACCATCCCCAACTCTGCTTCTCCCAAAGCTTGTCAATGCCCCAGACATGAGCCAGCCCAGGCCCCGCTACGTGGTAGACAGAGATGCATACTCCCTTACCCTCTTCGATGATGAGTTTGAGAAGAAGGACCGCACATACCCAGTAGGAGAGAAACTTCGCAATGCCTTCAGGTAATGTGGCCCATAGCCCAGACTCCTCTTTCCTCTCCTCCCCCTTCCTCCTCAACCAAAATCCTTCCTGCACTAAGCCATGGATCCTGCACCCAATATTCTAAGACAGGGGTTAGGGGAAGCCCTTGCAATTTAAGATCCTACAGCCCCTTCTGTACTGAGAGACCCCCAAGGAAGATGGGGACTACAAACAAGAACCACCCACTGCTTTAGGGCATCCCCACCCTCTGCATGATGGTCCCCAATATTTCAGCCTTCCCTAGTCTCTCTTGGATTTGTAAAGGAGCTGTTGATAGGATGCTACAACAGGGAGGTTGGGAGGCATCAGAGTCCTTACTTCAATGCCATATTCTCTCACTAGTTAAGAAAACTTGAAACCACCACCACCCCCTGCCCTTTGATCACTTTGCCTGCTAGACGCTCCTCCCAGAAAATACCCAACAGAAGCCCTAATGTTTTAGGTTCTTCTGAAAGGGGCCTGGGTGAGGTTTTAGCAGGCCCTGGGCTCTTTCTACTCTCAGATCTCTGATCCCCATCATACCTTTCCTGGAACTCTGATGTGGAAGTGAGACCTTGGCTCTAAGGAAGGGGCTATAGCAGGTGCTCTAGGCCCACACTCCAGAGGCCTGAGGCTATGGGCTGAGTCCTCCCCCTTCCCAGACTCCTGGCAGACCTCCTCAGGCCTAGCCGTGGGCTGGCTGGTTCTCCCTCTCCCCTGGGGAAACAGCTGATTCAGTACCTGGATTGAGGTCACTGGCAATGGCTGAAGTGGAGATGCAGGTGGAACTGGTTCAGACCAGGGGAATCACCCACTTGAGTCTTAACTAAAGCCCCAGCCCAACCCTGCTTCTCCTGGGAGGATCCATCTCTGCTCAGGTACATTCAAGGTCTTAGGTACCTGGTGTCTGGCACCGTACCCATACCTGTGCACCCTTGGGCAGATGGGCACTGCCAGCCCTTGTGCTCAAAGAGTACTCATTTGGGTTCTTTCTGTTACTGAGGAGATGGGGTATTCACTGTTGTCCTAAAATGCTGAGTGGTGAGAACTCTAAAGGGATATAGGGAGCTAACATGTTCTATGTGACTGGCATGAGAGCTTTGAACAGTGCCTGGCACACAGGAGGTATTCAATCAATATTTGTTTAATGAAAGAATAATCTCCAGAAAGCTAGCCCCTCTCTCCACTTCACTCTTTATGGCCCCTGGAGCATCTGTATCAGTATTGGACATCTGCTTCCAACTCTTCTTTCAGGCTTCAACTTCCTTTGCCCAAAATATGACAGGGTTGCAAGTAAGGCTGGGCTGTACTACCCCTTAAGTGAATTGTTATCATTTCACTAGCCAGCTCTGTCTTCATAAGTCCAGTTTTCTCTGCCACAATCAAATCTGATAGAGTCCTTGCAGAGCTAGTTCTCTCTTGGGCCAAAGCTTTAGAGGTGCTTCAAGTTATTGGTCACCAGTCCAACTCCCCTTCTGCCATTCTAAAGATGGAAGAGGCACCCACCAGCCCCAGAGGAGACCAGGGAGTCAGATGTGGATAGTGATACCATTCCATAGACTGTTGGTTAGGACAGAAAATCTGCCCAGATTTCACAGGGTACAAAGCATTGTCTGTGTTGGTTTCAGCCTTGGGTGACATCCAGGGGACCCAGGGTCAGGGAAACTATTGTTGAGCAACAGCAAAGAGCAGGAATTGGTGCCGGGCAGGAAAGGAGGCTAATCAGAGCAAGCCAGTGAGTCACCAGATGGTCTCCAAGTATTTGAGTTCCTTCAACTGGGAGAAGAAAAGTAAATGCTTCCCCCACTTCCAGTCATCAATCCATTGGCTGTCACCCTTGAGTTTATAGGCCCTTGTTCCTACCGCTTCTGAGTTTCTATGAAAGGACCTGGAGGTGTTCAACAAACAGGGAAGGGATCAACTCTCTCCACCCTAGATTGGCCAGTGACCAGCTCCCCCATTCTTCCCTCTCTTGCTGATGAATTAACAGAGAAAAGAACTCTGGTATTAGGGTCATCACACATAAATGTTCATGAGTCACCAGGAGCAAACCCTGCAGGGACGATAGAAACTTCCTTGTGGGGGAAAGTCCTTAGAAAACTGGCAGCAGCCCCCACTCAGACTGAGTTTCAATACCAGCCCATCTTTCATTTATTCACTCACTTATTCAACGATATTTACTAAGCACCTTTGGGTCATGCAGGAGGTATACAAAGATGAACAAGAGTAGCAGACCTCTCCACTGTGGAGTTTGCTGTCTGATGGGGGGACACAGACAAAAAGAGCGATTATAATACAGGGTGCACAGGGACCTGTAGGAACACAGGAGAGTGCCTCAGTCTGTGTTCAGATGGGGATCCAGAGAAGTTTTTCCTGGAGAAACTCCATCTGAGCCGGGAATGGACTTGACACCTCTGAAGACCAGGCCATCATTGAGATCCATATCTTTAAACCAAAACTTCCCGTGGTTAGTGGCCAGAAGTCAGAAGATTGCCCAGGGCATGATGACAGGTTCTCATGAGAAAGTTTCTGCCTTTTCTTCTCGGTATCCCTGGCACACACCACAGTAGGGTTCTTACTGTTATATCTGAATTTTGAGTTAATTTTCAATGGACAAACAAATGAATGAATTACCAGGAACAGGATATTGCAGTCTCTCCCCAACTTAGGAGCCCCGCTGGCACAATGGTTAAGCACTCAGCTGCTAACCAAAAGGTCAGGAATTCACCCACCAGTGGCTCAACAGGAGAAAAGACCTGTTTGGATAAAGATTACAGCCTAGGGAATCCTATGGGGCAGATATACTCTGTCTTACAGGGTTGCTATGAGTCGGAATCGACTCAACAACACACAACAATTCCCCAGTTTGGAGCATCTGAGCCGTGCTGATTGGAGATCTGCCCTCCTCCTCTGTAGATGCTCCTCAGCCAAGATCAAAACTGTGGTGTTTGGGCTCCTCCCTGTGCTCTCGTGGCTCCCCAAGTACAAGATCAAAGACTACATTATCCCTGACCTGCTTGGTGGACTCAGCGGTGGATCAATCCAGGTCCCACAAGGTGAAAGGGGTCCCCTCAGCCAGGCCTGATACTTTCCTCTATTCCTCTGCCCCAGCCCCATCCTTACCCCTGTGTGACCTCTGTCACCCTGAGCATTGACGGCTTTGTCTTCTTCAGGTATGGCATTTGCTCTGCTGGCCAACCTTCCTGCAGTCAATGGCCTCTACTCCTCTTTCTTCCCCCTGCTGACCTACTTCTTCTTGGGGGGTGTGCACCAGATGGTACCAGGTAAGGCCTCTTCCCTCTCAGTGGGCAGGATGACTTGGCACATGAGGATGGGTGGTGTGATAAGGGGGATTCAGGTGATTTGCCATCTACATTCTCTAAGAGTTGGTGCTGGTCAGCCTTGGAGGGATGATCACTGTGAGAGTCGTCTCATGTCTCCTGTGACCTTGGGGAAACCACCTAGTGCCTGTGTGTCCTCAATTACAATGACCTGTTCTGCCTTTCTTCCTGGGCTGTGGAAAAGACTGGGTGGAACAAGATATACCACATACCATAAGCACTAAATAAATGTAAGAAACTATCCTTCTAACTTGCAGGCTGGCCCAGCAGGCCGCTGTAGAGACATTTGGTGCTGGCCAGTGCTGGGTGAGATGGAAACACAAGGCCTGGTCATGAGGCCTGGTTTCTGGCTCAAGCACTGTTTGTATTTCTAAGCCCATTTTCTCACGTGTGCAACACGATAATAGTAACAGTTGAGGTGAAAGCACTTTGCAAAGTGTAGTTCATGTTTAGAGGTGAATGATTGTGGTTATGCAGGACAGGAGCCTTGGACGTGGGGGGACCTACCATGTAAGGGTTGGGAAGCATTCCTGAGCCCCCTTCTGGTGTCTGTGAGAGTGGCCCAACCTCTAACTTTTGCTGGCTGGGTGGGGCACCACAGGTACCTTTGCCGTTATCAGTATCCTGGTGGGTAACATCTGTCTGCAGCTGGCCCCAGAGTCAAAATTTCGGATCTTCAACAATGCCACCAATGAGAGCTACGTGGATACAGTGGCCATGGAGGCAGAGAGGCTGCATGTGTCAGCTACGCTAGCCTGCCTGACTGCTGTCATTCAGGTGAGGGGACAACCCCCATCCCTGCCAGGACTGGCTTCAGGAGGACATCACACTGCTCTACCCCTGCCTCAGAGCTCCAGTTGAAAAGCTGCTTTCAGGTTCTACCTCCTCTCTCTTCCCCACTTCCGGAGCCTAAAAAGTCCTTGAAAAGTCAGACTATTTTCTCACCTACCTCCAAGATGGACCATAAGATCAGCATCCTCACCTGATAAAACTGTCCTGACCATAACCAATCAAAACCAGTTGCAATCATCCCGGCAACCCTATGTGTGTCAGAGTAGAGTTGTGCAGCAAAGTGTTTTCAGTGGCTCATTTTCTGGAAGTAGATCACTAGGGCTTTTTCTGAGGTGTCTCTGGATGGACTTGAAATTCCAACCTTTTGGTTAGCAGCTGAGTGTATTAACTATTAACCCAGGGACTCCATCCTGAGCTTAGAGACTGTCAAAAAGTCTCACAGCCTCGGTCCACTATCCTTTCCAATGATAGCACTGTCTTCCCTTCACTCTTTCTTATGCATGCAGACTGCTAAGTTATCTAATCCTCCTTCTTCCTTTCCAGCCTCCTCTGCTCCAAGCCAACATAAATTGAGTTTCTGCCCTGTACAAAGAACTCTGCTAGGCTTTACGAAGGGAAACACAGCCTGATAGAATGCAAAAGCAGGAAGTAACTTCAGAGAGCACCTTTCATTTATTCATTCATCCAACCAATTAATGTTTTTTTGGTTGTTTCACTCTGCTAGGAACTGGGCTAGGCTCTGAGATACAAAGATAAGTAAGAAAGGGTCTCAGTTCTCCAGGAGTTCACAGCCCAGCAGAGGAAGTAGCCATGTAAACAGATAAATGTGTATGCAGTGAGATAAGCAGCACAATAGAACTTCATACAAAAAGCTATGGGAAAACAGAACAGAGGATCAGGGAGGGCCTCAAAGAGGAGGTGACACTTGACCTGAGCCTTAAAGGATGAATAGAAGTTAGCCAATAAACAAATGAACAGGTGCAGAAGGATGGTCTAGACAAGAGGGAGCAGTACCCAAAAGGATTGAGGCCTAAGAGAGTATGATCTGAATAGGGAATGGCAAAGAGTTTGGGTGTGCCTGGAGAATAGAGGGTTTGGAGGGAAGAGACCAAAGAAGAGGCTGGAAAGATAGGCAGGGTCCCAACAATGAAGTCCAGGATCTGTCCCCTAAGTACAGGAAAAGAGTAGAGCATTTGGTGATTTATAAGGATCATTTAAGCTGCAGAGATGGTGGATGAGAGATGGATTACAATTGAGGCAGAGAACCTGTTGGGAAGCTATGCAGAGGTCCAGGTATGAGTGATGGAGGCACCTAGACCTTGGTGGTGGCAAGGGACAAGGAGATGGAGGTGGGGTATTTTGCTTGCAGCATTAACAGGATTTGGTGATAGATTGGATGTAGGAGGTGAGGGAAGATGACTTCCAAGTTTTTGGTTGGGCAATTGGGTGGATGCTGATGTAATTTACTGAGAGGAAACATTGGGAGAGGATAATGTTCATTTTACAGATAATGAAAATGAAGCCAGAGAGAGATGAGTGACAAAAAGGTGTTCCAAAGGAAATAAAGTTCTGAAGGCAGATACGTAAGGGCAGTGAGGGTCAAGGCAAGGTCAGGACAAAGTCAAGAAAGGCTCATTTCCCTAGACCAACTACTGTCCCAGAGCCACATGGAACTCCAGCCCCAGGTTTGGGTCGGTAGGCTACAGGAGCTGTTGACCAGCTTGGTCTTTCCCTATCCCTTTCTCCTCTCAGATGGGCCTGGGTTTCGTGCAATTCGGCTTTGTGGCCATCTACCTCTCTGAGTCCTTCATCCGGGGCTTCATGACAGCTGCTGGCCTGCAGATCCTGATCTCGGTGCTCAAATACGTCTTTGGATTGACCATCCCCTCCTACACAGGCCCAGGGGCCATTGTCTTTGTGAGTCTAGGACATACCCCTGCAACTGGGGAGGGGCTCAGGCAGACACATGAACAGAGTTGACAACTTTAAGAAGTTGTAAGCTTCTCATTATGAGGTGTTCTCAAGCAAGAGTTGGTTGACCCATTGTTCCAATAGAATTCAAGGGGATTCCCACTTTGGGAAGGAGAGTGAACTGCATGACCTTAAGGGCTTGTTGAAGTTCTCCATGGCTAATCCCTGCAAGGGAGCTCTGGTAGCATAGTGCCTAAGGCACTTGACTGCTAACCAGAAGGCTGGTGGTTCAAACCCACTAGCTACTCCTTGGAAGAAAGATTGGGCAATCTACTTCCATAGTGATACTGCCTCAGAAACCCAAGGAGCCGTATCCGACTCCACAGCAGTGAGTTTGGTTTTTGGGTTTTAATCCCTGCAGAAAAAGGATATGGACATCCTCCATCAGTTCCCCATTCCAGTGCTTCAACCACTCCCTGCCTGGAAAGTCCTCCCTTATGTTATATCCTTCCTCCTTTAGTTAAAACTCTTTCTAGAGAAAGAGGCTTAGAACATCATCCCAGTATGAGCAACTTTGGGAAACAATGCTAGAAGACAGGATGGTGTTCATGACCAGGGTATGAACTCTGCTCTGGTTGTGCCTCCATTAAGCATTGTTGACATCCCTTCATTGGGCCAGGCACCAAGGGTGGGGGTAGTACGGGAAGAAAGGGTAGGAACCTGTGAGCACGATGCTGTCTCCCTCAGACCTTCATTGACATTTGCAAAAACCTCCCCCACACCAACATCGCCTCGCTCATCTTCGCCCTCATCAGCGGTGCCTTCCTGGTGCTGGTGAAGGAACTCAATGCTCGCTACATGCACAAGATCCGCTTCCCCATCCCCACAGAGATGATTGTGGTAAGGACCTTGCCTGGGGCTGGGTCTTTGGGGTCCAGGCTGGAGAGGCAGTGAGAAGAGGAATACACTCCCAACTAGGCCAGGGGAGTCCCTACTCATCCCCAGCCCACCCCACTGGCTACCAGTAGAACAGAAATCATCATGAATCTTCCTGGTCCCCCTGTGTCGGGCTCCCACTCTTCTTCCTCCTCAGGGGAGTTGGGATTGGGGCTCTCAGGGGAAAGGGAATCCTGGGAGACACTCTGTGCTGGCCTCAATTTAGGGCCAATCCCCATTCTCCACTTTGGGGTTTGCAGGTGGTGGTGGCGACAGCTATCTCTGGGAGCTGTAAGATGCCCAAAAAGTACCACATGCAGATCGTGGGAGAGATCCAACGTGGGTGAGTCCAAGCATCCCTGAAGCCTGGTCCCAACCCCACCACACTCCTACCAAGGCCTAGGCTCCAAGAGAGAGATAAGATAAGCCCTATTACAGAGTATTATAAACTGTAGGACACTGATCAGATGAGAATTATTATAATTACTTAGAAGAGCTATCTAACCAGCCAATGATGGCTGCTTTGTGAAAACTCAGTCTTAACTACTATACTCACCCCAAAGTCTCATTCAATCCATATTGTTAAAGCAAAGGCAAAGCTGGTGAGCCCCTTGCTGGTTCTTTGCCTTGCTCTAACATATTGGCTTTTGTTATGCATGTGGAAAGGATGCTATTAGAATCAAGAATTCATCATCCTCCCTGGGAGGAGGGGGCAGTGCTTACCTATAGAGTTGGAGCAGATGAAGGAGTAAGAGCACTGCAGTGGTACAGAAAGGGGTGTAAAAATCCATAATCTGGAAAGAGCCCTGGTGGCGCAACAGCTAAGCACTCATCTGCTACCCAAAAGATTGGTGTTTAGAACCCACCCGGAGGCTCCACAGGAGAAAACCCTGATGATCTGCTTCCGAAAAGATTGCAGCCTAGAAAACCCTATAGGGCAGTTCACACATGGGGTTGCCATGACTTAGAATCAACTCAACGGCATCTAACAACAGCAGTATACCTTTATTCAGGAATCCAGAATCTGGGCTTCGACAAGCCAGACTCTACCACTTATTGGCTCTATGACTTCAGACAAGTTGTCGGACAACTTGTTGTCTGAAGTCTCTGAACCTCAAACTCCTTTGTAAAGCAGGAGTGGTGGCACCTACCCTACTGAGGATATGGACTGGAGGAGATAAATTATGTAAAGACCATGCACATCATGGGGCCTGGCTAGTCTCTCTGGGTCAATGGAGGACATAGCTGCCCTCCTGCTCATGCCTATGGCCCTGCTTTCTCTCTGGCTCCTCGTCAGGTTCCCCACTCCAGTGTCACCTGTGGTTTCTCAGTGGAAGGACATGATTGGTACAGCCTTCTCCCTTGCCATCGTGAGCTACGTCATCAACCTGGCTGTGGGCCGGACCCTGGCCAGCAAGCATGGCTATGATGTGGATTCTAACCAGGTAGCTTCACCACCTCCGACAGGGCTGGGTGAGACGGGACATGGCCAGCAGAGGCCTGGCAAGAGACATCTTCGGGCTCTTTGGGTTGAGATGAGGCAGGCTGCCTGCCAGCAGGAGAAGGGACCTCCAACCCCAAGAGGTTGATTGAGAATGTGTGAATTCATAACTATAGAGTGGCTCACAAGTCCTAGGCCCAAGATCCAGCTTGGGTGACTGACTGGGTTTGGTCCCACCAACCCTTCCTTGCCCCAGGCTCAGGCATTGAATACCCTGCTTCCAACCCTGCCCCTCTCTCTCCTCACAGGAAATGATTGCCCTGGGCTGCAGCAACTTTTTTGGCTCCTTCTTTAAAATCCATGTCATCTGCTGTGCACTCTCAGTCACTCTGGCTGTGGATGGAGCTGGAGGAAAATCCCAGGTGAGCCCAATACTTGGGGAGTGAGATGAGGTAGGGGTAGAGGCTAATTGCCTCAGAGGAGCTTGGGCACCCACAAGCCAGGCCAGCTTCCCACCCCCCCCTTCTTCCTTCCTGACTCTCCACTCCACCATTATAGCTATTAGAATGAATCAAGAGCAAGAACTCACACCTACCCCATATTCCCAACTCATTCTATGAATAGGTGTCAAGCCTATGTGTGTCCCTGGTGGTGATGATCACCATGCTGGTCCTGGGATCCTATCTGTACCCTCTTCCCAAGGTAAGAGCCCAACAAGATAACAGAGGACAGGAAAAGACTTGAGGGGAACTAGAGTGGAAATAATCCCTAAGAGCTGTTGGAATGTTGCTATACAGATTACAAAGTGTTATCATTGTCACGTTGAATCCTAATCACATCACTGTGAGGTAAACAAAGCGAGATTTATTCTCCCCATTTTACAGGTGAGGGAAATTGAGGCTGAGAGAGCATAAATGGTTTGCCTCTGGTGACATAGCTAATAAGTGCAGAGATAGACTCAAGTTCCAGTCTTCTACCCTCAGAGTTCATTCCACAATCAGTGTCTACAAGTTTCTATGAGTGCAAGATATTCTTACAGCCCAATCAGGAGGGGCCTAAGCCTGGGGTTTTTTAGGGATGAGGGAAGAGGGGAAGGTGAAAGACAGGGATAGGAAGGACCCTATGTTTCTAATGCCTATACTCTCCAAACCTAAGATTGAGAGCACAGAGTTGGGGGCTTTGCCATGGAAGGTGTTCTGGAATTCCAGCTCTGTCCTGTCAGGGCCAGAAGGGCAGAAAGAAGGTGACACCCAAGGTAACATGGGACAATGTTCTGCTTCCACAGTCTGTGCTAGGAGCCTTGATAGCCGTCAACCTCAAGAACTCCCTCAAGCAACTCGCTGACCCCTACTATTTGTGGAGGAAGAACAAGCTGGACTGTGTAGGTATTGGGCGGCCTCTGAGTACTCATCCATACCTGTCCTCTCCTTCAACCGCTAAGCCATGTCAGCTCTCTTAATAATGATCCCTGTCATCTGCTGCTCCCTAATCAGCATACCATAGCACAGTGGTTAAGAGCCACCCTATGTTCAACTCGCAATTCAATCACTCACTGGCTCAGTAACCAAAAGCAAGTCCCTTGAGTTTTCTGAGTCTCACTTTCCTTATATGTGAAACGGAAATTTTACCCTCTCTACCGCCTAGAGTTGCTATGAGGAAGAACTGAGAAAAGACAAGTAAGCAGCACATTGTCTGAATTCTATCTTGTGCTCAATAAAAGCTAGATAGCTATTATTATTTTTATGATTTATAGCTCCAAAAAGGCAAAAGGATATAGTTATTTTTTTAGAAAAACTCCTAGAACGCAAAGCCAGAGGCTAGGGTCTTAAGCAAGTTGCTAGACTTTTCTGGAACTCTATTTCCTCATCTGTAAATGCAGGTGATAGTCATGGCTGCATCATGTATTTATCCTGAGGATTAAGTGAGATCATAATGGGAAAGCACCAAGTAACCACAGAACACTCTGCAAAGTGAGTTATTGTTATGATTAGTCACATCTTTCACTGCGTCTTCCACTAGATAATAGCAATAAAGGCTACGTATATTGACGACACACCATTATCTTCATTTAAGCCCTACCACAACCTTAGAGAGGATTTACTAACCTCATTTAAACATGATGAAATCAAGGCTCAGAGATGTTGTTGTTGTTGTTGTTGTTATGTGCCGTCGAGTCAGCCCTGACTCATAGCGACCCCTCCTTGGGTTTCCGAGGCAGTATCACTACGGAAGTAGGATTGCCCAACCTTCCTTCCGAGGAGTGGCTGATGGGCTTGAACCTCCAGCCATCTGGTGAGCAGTCAAGTGCCTTAGCCACTATGCTACCAGAGCTCCCTCAGAGATGTTAAGTAACTCATTAAAGGTCTCAGAGGTAGTAAGTGGTAGAGTCTGGATTTGAACCCATGTCTTTGACTACAAACATTTGAGCTAGACCATCTCCTATAGAAGGGAGCCTCACCAGCAAGATTCAGAGAAAAAATTCCTAGAGCCAGAGAATTGACTGGGTCCTCCAGTGAGTGGATGATGATGATATGGAGAAAACTGTACATCCCATTTCCCAACCCAAGGATCTGTTTTTAACACAAGTGCCTTGTATTCATATAGTGCTTTGCATCTCCATGGCCTCACAGCAATGCTATACAGGAATCTGGACAGATTAATTTTGTTTAGAGGAATTTGAGGGACCTTAAAAGGCATGTAGATGAGCTCTGGTTGTGCAGTGGTTAAAGCATTTGGCTGCTAACCAAAAGGTTGGTGGTTTGAACCCACCAGCCACTCTGCAGGAGAAATATGTAGCAGTTTGCTTCCATAAAGATATACAGCCTTGGAAACCCTATGGGGAAGTTCTACTCTGTCCTATAGGGTTACTATGAATTAGTTCAATGGCAGTGGGTTTCTGTTTTGGGTAAAATACCCATAAGGAGCCCTGGTGATGCAATGGTTAAGCACTCACCAAAACACTGGCATTTCAAACCCACCCAGCAGCTCCTAGAGAGAAAGACCTGGAGATTTACTTCCATAAAAAAATTACAGCTTAGAAATACTATGGGGCAGTTCTACTCTGTCACACAGAGTCACTATGAGTCGAAATCGACTTGATGGCACCTAACAAATACAAAGGCTTCAGAAGTGCAACTATTGAAGCTGCATGCAATCCTGCCCCCCACCCACCCACCCATAAAACCAAGCTCCAGGCAGTCATTCAGGAAGCAGTCCTTGAGCACCTGCAGGGGTATAGAACACTCGCTGTTAGAGAGAGAAAGGGAACTAGCATGTATTAAACATCATTGGGTACCCCTCACTAGGCTGTTGTTGTTAGCAGTTGCCACTGAGTCAGCTCTGACTTATGGTGACCCTGTGTACAACAGAACAAAACATTGCCCAGTCATGTATCTTCATAATCCTTGGTATGCTCAAGTCCATTGTTGCAGCTACTGTGTGCTTTGAGTGCCTTTCATTCTAAGAGCTCTGGTGGTGTAGTGCCTAAGGCATTTGACTGCTAACCAGAAGGCTGGTGGTTCAAACCCAACAGCCAATCCTTGGAAGGAAGACTGTGCAACTGGGCAATCTACTTCTGTAGTGATACCACCTTGGAAACCCAAGGAGGGGTCACTATGAGTTGCAATCAACTTGATGGCAGTGAGTTTGGTTTTTTTTTTTTTGGAGGGGGGGGGTCCAAACTAGCAGACTCATCTTCCAGCACTCTATCAGACAATGTTCTATTGTGATCCATAGAGATTTCATTGGCTAATTTTCAGTAGATGTCCAGGTCTTTCTTCCTAGTTTATCTTAGTCAGGAAGCTCCACCAAAACCCATCCACCATGGGTGACCCTGCTGGTTTGAAATACTGGTGGTATAGCTTCTAGCACTATAGCAACATGCAAACCACAGGCAGTTGATCACTAGGATAGGGCCTTTATATTCCTCGATTCTTTATTCCTTTCATGAAGTAGGTATTATTATTCTCCATTTATTGGTTAGAAACTGAAGGTAGTAAGTAGGAGAATCAAGCTTTGAATCTAGGCATATCTCTTATCATTATGCCCTGCTACTTCCCTACATGGGCTGGGGTTGTCTATTTAAAAAAAAAAATCATAAAAAACAAGATCGGGGGCCATACCCAATCTAGGAGAAATGGGCGAGTGTAACTAAAGCACAAATACATAAAGCATCACAAAAATGCAATCAAAAGGAAAGGGTGGATCTGAAGTTGTTCTAGCAGAGAATGGCCTTGCTAATCCAGGAAGACTTCCTGAAAGAGGCAGCCTTCTCCAGGCCTGCTTCTGATAGCTCTCTCTTCACAGTGTGTCTGGGTGGTGAGCTTCCTCTCTTCCTTCTTCCTGAGCCTGCCATATGGTGTGGCAGTGGGTGTCGCCTTCTCCGTCCTGGTTGTGGTCTTCCAGACCCAGTTGTAAGTAATACCCTTCTCCCAATAAAGAACAACACTAGGATCCTTAGTCAAACCAGCCAAGTTACTCTTATGCCCAGGCATGGCCCAGCCCACTGGACTCTTCCTTCTTCTGGGCCTGCACTAGAGGTGCTCCCATGCCTGAGGAAAGCCAACCCAACTAGGGCTCTGGGAACAGGCTGGGCTGTCTGACTTCCCATGCCCTAAACACCCAACAGAAAGTCATCATGGTCCTGGAGGGCTACAGGGAAGGGACCAGAGAAAGTAGAATAAGAGCGGGAGGGTGAGATTCAGTCTTTCCAAAGACACTACCAAAATTGCAGACCACCCGGGAGAATACCGGGCCACAAGACATACTGTGTCCTCCTTGGAACAAGATTAAGTAATACAGGCAAGGGCACCAGGGGGAAGGATCCAGGCCAGGGCCCGGGAGAATGAGAAGTGTTAGGGAATTCCTTTCTTTGCTTCTTGAGAACTCAAAATCAGCAAGTGGTGACTTCAGGGACCATTTAAGCTTGTGACCTCTTCTGCCCTGAGCCCTAGTCTGGTAGTTCTGTCAAAGGCCTGCCTGTCATTCCCTTAGTTACAGTCCTGCCACAAGCCACCAGGCACATATCTCTAGTGCAGAAACACAAACAAGCCTGGGGATGAGAGAGGGCCCCCTCTTGCCCTGCCCTTGAACCCAGCCACCTTCCCCAGCATCTTTCCAGACCTATATTCCATTAGCATTCTCTTAGGTTTTTGTTTGTTTGTTTTTTCCTTCTCTTGCCAGTCGAAATGGCTCTGCTCTGGCCCAGGTCATGGACACTGACATTTATGTGAATCCCAAGACCTACAATAGGGTGTGTAATCCCAGCTTATGACCTCCCTCATTTGCCCTTTCCCCACCCAGGGATGATGAGTTTGGGGGTTATTTTTAAAAAGCCAATAAAGACAGTTCTGCTACCTGAGCCCAGCCCTCCTATCACAGGTCCAGGAAATTACCGGGGTTAAAATCGTCACTTACTGCTCCCCTCTCTACTTTGCCAACTCAGAGATCTTCAGGCAAAAGGTCATTGCCAAGGTAAGACCCAGTCCTTTGGCAACCAGAGGGGCTGGACAAAGATCCAGCACAGAGTATGGGAGTAGAAGGGGGCAGGGAACTGAGAGCAGGCCACTCTCCAAAGGTATAGAAGTCAAGATGCTGTTGGGTCTCTCCCCCAGACAGGTGTGGACCCCCAGAAAGTATTACTGGCCAAGCAAAAATACCTCAAGAAGCAGGAGTTGGGGAGAAAGATGCCCACACAACAGAGGAAATCTCTATTCATGAAAACCAAGGTGAACTGAGACTCAGAGCCCTGCCGTGCTCCCCTGCTCATTGTGTATCTTGTCCCCTGGAGTCCCACCTCCCAGCAACCTGTGAGGCAAAGACAGGAAGTCTTGGTAGCCACTGGTGGTGGCCTCTGGGCATTCTTCTTGAGTGAGGGGCTGCCAGCTTCCAGGGTATTTACTGAACTCCTATGACAGCCCCTGCCTACTTTCTGGCTAAGACAAAGCATGCCCTATGGACCTATGAACAACTCTAGATAAAGAGAAGCAGCAAATTAACTGGTGTTCCCAGCAAACTCAGAACTAGCCAGGCTGGGGTTGGTATGGGAGTTCTGAGGAGATGCAGGCAGACATGGACAAATGAAAAAGCAGTGTAGTTGTTTCCAAAGAGCAGTTTCCTACAGAGCAGTGTGCCGAGCCTTCAGTAACTCTCTCAGAAGCCTCCTTCCCACTTTTTCTGACTTGTAAGAGTTCAAGCTTGCAGGCCCTGCCTAGGGAAGAGAATTTGGGAGAAGCCTTGCTAGGAGATTTCAGAGCAGGAACCAAAGGCTTTTAGTCACCCACCACCACCAAGTTCAGTTACTCACCTCCACCTCCACTCCACTCCACCTCCCCTCCCCTGACCCCTGCTCCACACTCTACCTCCACTTTCCTGGCCTCTGCTTCAACTCCAGCAAAGTCAGATTCAATCTGATGACCTCTGACCCTACTCTGTCCCTACCCCTCCAGACTATCTCCCTGCAGGAGCTCCAGCAGGACTTTGAGAATGCCTCTCCCACCGACCCCAACAATAACCAGACAGCTGCTAATGGTACCAGCGTGTCCTACATCACCTTCAGCCCTGACACCTCTTCACCTGCCCACTGTGAGCTACCAGCTTTGGCTGAGTCCCCTGGTGAACCCAGTGACACCTTGGCCAGCGTCCCACCCTTTGTCACCTTCCACACCCTCATCCTCAACATGAGTGGAGTCAGCTTTGTGGATCTGATGGGCATCAAAGCCCTGGCCAAGGTGAGGCCCTCAGAGAAAGGGAGTAGGCACCCAACCCGCTCTCTCCTACTCCCTTTCCTGAGAAAGAAGCTCAGAAAGGAGGCCAAAGACTTCTCAGGATCCCTCCTTTCCCCAGATATAACCAGGTTGGCATGCTCTCTGCAGAGCAGGCCCAGCACAGCCCAGGAGAAGGAGACCAGAGCTTCAGCACCCACTGTTTTACCCCATCTTAGCAGAGGCTATAAGTAGTTCCCTCTCAGGCCACCAGGAACCTGCCCTAGGATCCTCTGAGTAGAGTCCAGCTTGGCCCATGGCTCATGGGCTATAGTTCCTTCCTACACTCACCCTGCACCCTAGCAGTCAGCTGGTTCCAGCCAGCTTAGGAGAGAAGAAGAAATAATATCAGTTTCCCACACCCTCAGGCAAAACAAGCAGCCCTAGATTTACCCCATCTAACACCTTCTCAGTGGCCACCATTGAAAGCCGAAAGACAGAAAACCTCAGAGCTGGCTCAGACAGAGACAGCCCAGGGGAACAGAAGCATACAGGCTGACATCACCCTGAGCCAGGTGCAGAGACGGTTCCATCCCAAGTTGGGCCTCAGCCTGCTTCCCAGGCCTGGACCTGACCTCCAGGCCAGCTTTGACTGAAGCCCTAGCGGGTCTGAGCCTTAGTCTTTCCCTGTGGTGTCTGCCTGAAGCCACAAAGTTGAGAAAGAGGTGGAGTCTGGGAATCTAACTACTGAGAGGAAAGATCTGATCCCATAAAAAGGGGCTGTGGTGATTTTTAGGGCCTGTCACATTGGCAAAGCCCCATTTCCGCCCCACTTTTCAGAGAAACCTTCAGCCAACACTCCAGAAAGAAGTGGTGTGCTTTGCTGCTATTTTTATCTTTGGCTCCCAGGGCCCTTGGGGTTGCTTGTTTGTTTGCCTTCCCCTCTGAAGTCCATTTTGTGAATCACTTTTGAAACCCACTCAGAGCATTCCTTTCCTTTTGTCTCTCTGCCCTACCACCCTCCCTAACACTTCTAGCTGAGCACCACCTTCGGGAAGATCGGTGTGAAGGTCTTCTTGGTGAACATTCATGGTAAGAGGAGGGGGACATTTAGGGAACTCAAAGGCTGGCTGGCAAAGAGGTGGAGTGAAGGCAGGTTGACAGGGCACTGAATAGTGAGAAGGTGATGAGAGTCCCAAATGTTTCCCCAAGTTACTACCTGCTCATAAGAGCTCCAGACACAAGTCAGGGAAGATTGAGGCTAGGGGGTATAAACATCATAAAAAACAGTTGCCATGGAGTCAGCTCTGACTCCTGGCAACCCCATGTGTGTCAGAGCAGAGCTGGGCTCCACAGCGTTTCAATGACTGGTTTTTTAAGAAGTAGATCCCCAGGCCTTTCTTCTAAGATATCTTTAGCTGGATTCAAACAGCCAACCTTTTGGTTAGAAGCTGAGTTCTTAACCATTGTGCCTTTAGGGGTCGCTACGAGTCAGGTCTGACTCGATGGCACATGACAACAACAACAACAAAGTTCTCAATAACAGAATGAAGGATCAGATGTAGAACTTGAGAAAACAGAACCAGGAGTAGAATTAATCTGCTCCTATCACTAATTTGCCATATGGCTTTAGCCAAGTCACTTTATCTGTCCAGGGATCAATTTTCTCCTACATAAAATTAGGTTGACTAAATGAATTTGAGGGTTCTCTCCAAATCTGGAAACCCATGTCCTACTTTTACAGATGAGCACACGCATCAGTTTTACATGCACATAATCCAAAGGGTGTGGGTATACAGACCAAGGACATGTCCACAGTATAGGTTCACATCATTAACATGTGTGCAAGGTGCACAGACATGGAGCCGCAGTGAGAGCACAGAGATACACACGAGAAGATGGAGGGCACAAACACACACCCAGCTTCAAGTACAGGGTCAGATCCCTCCCAGCAGCTGCTCCACTTCAGAACTGGCCTGAGCATGTCCCAGGCTCTGTGGGGACCCTCCTCAGGGAACACAGTTCTCCATGTATGCCAGAGTTAGAATCAGTGGGATTCCTCCCCACTCTTCTGACACCCCGTTAGAAAAGCATCTCTAGAATTTGGTAAGAGTGAGGTCTCTGCCACATATTGGAAACTTCGGGAAAGGTCTGGGTGGAGAAGGACCAAGATGGGGGCCCTTAGAGGACAGAATTGGCAGCAGCCTGCTCAAGGACTGTTTAGCCTTTCCCTCTCTAATCACCATAATGTACCTCTTTCTCGAATCAAACTGCTTCCTTTTCCCCTTGGTTGAAGACACAGCATCCTCAAGATCATGATGCCCTCTGCTGCTCAGAATGGATATTGCAGGGCCCATAGATCTCAGATGCAGCAAGAACAGGAACCTCAGGCCTTTCTCTCCCTCAGCCCCAATGCACAGTGGCTATTAGCGTTCTGGAGGTGTTCTTTTCCTCTCTTCAGCCCAGGTGTACAATGACATTAGCCATGGAGGCATCTTTGAAGATGGAGGTCTGGAGCGCAGCCATATCTTCCCCAGCATACACGATGCAGTCCTCTTCGCACAGGCAAATGCCAGAGACATGGCCCCAGAACACAACTTCCAAGGGGTAAGGTCCCTGCATCTGGGGAATCCTAGGCTCCCAGGACACTGAAGTAGCAGGACTAGAAATCATTCAAAAGAACCCAGGAGGGTTTGCCACTTCAGTCACTTGACTTTCCTGACTCTCAGCTTCCTTACCTGTAACATGTTGTTGTTATGTGCTGTCGACCCCTCCTTGGGTTTCCAAGGCAGTATCACTACGGAAGTAGATCGCCCAACCTTCCTTTCGAGGAGGGGTTGGCGGGTTTGAACCTCCAGCCTTCTGGTTAGTTAGCAGTCAAGTGCCTTAGGCACTATGCTACCAGAGATCCTTACCTGTAACATGGACACCATGAAATAATTTACCCACCTCACAGGGTTTTTCTGTTTTTGTTGTAGAAGTAAATGAAAATTATATCTTTTATGTTGTTCAAAAGTGCTTTTAGGATTACTTAAAAGGATGTCAAAATCCTCCATCAATGTCAATTAATTTCCTGACTTAAAGAACAAGTGTGTTACATTCTGCCTGATGTTCTAGCATTGCTCACTTCCCTCCTTAACTCTCCCTAAAAGATGTTTGGGAAGGGAGGGGAGTGTTCCTGCCTGTTTTAATTTAGCAGAGTTTAATGATCTCAGGCTGGTGACGGATGAAGAAACTGGGTCCAAGTTTTGTCTTAGCTTCTTGACATTTAATTTACTAGCTCAGTAAGTGGTATGCAAATGAAATACGATTAACACTATGTAGGGCTCCAGAAAGCTGAGGAATCAGAACAAGCCTACCCTATTGGGGTCCCTGCCCAGGCCTCACTCTTCCCAGCTCAGCCCCTGCCCTTGGCCTCCCAAGGTTTTGTTTGTGTCCCAGACCTTGATAAGAACCTCGTCTGCCCGCTGTGGGTCATAAGAAAGGTTCTTCTGGCCCTAGACCAACCATTTGCTCTTTTAAGAGACTGATGAAGGTGAAGCCATCTGTTCTCTATGCTGAAAGACTACCCAGAAAAACACAGGCACTTGGCTCCCCACTCTCTACTCTTGGAAACTGTGGGGAAGCGATGGGCTTTCCTACTTTGGGAGGCTTGCCCACAAAGCAAAGTGAGGGGGAGTCTGGAAGAATCATTTTTTCACTAACAATTTTGATTACTACAGTTTATAGATGGCAGTAGTAAACAGTTTACAGTTTATATTCCTGTATATAAGTTATATATAACCAAACCAAAGCCAAACTCACTGCCATCGAGTCAGATCCAACTCAGAGCAACCCCTTCTTGGGTTTCTGAGGGGGTATCTCTACAGCAGTAGGTTGCCCAATCTTCCTTCCGAGGAGAGAGAGTATGTTCATATATAAAATTACATACATGTATTTTTTTCATATATAGTTTACAGATTCTTATATATAAATGATAGACTCTAAATAAATTAAATATATAATTATAGATATCATATATGTATTATTCTCCATTTCCTTATCTGTAGAATAGGGAATTATATGTATTCATATATATAAACTATATACAGAGACACACACACACACTTTTCAACAGCATGGGGTAAGGCCAGCAACTCAAGTTTAATTGTCCTATTTTTATAGATGACTACACAGATACCCAGAGAAGGGAGATGAATTCCTCAACCTTAAACGGCTAGTCATTGTCAGCTAGACAAATAGGCCATGCCTCTAAAATGCCCCATATAGGAGGACAGACCCTGATGCACACATGCCTCTGTAAAGGGAAAGACTATAGCTATTCTATGTTCTGTGAGGCAATTGAAGACGTGGGAAGGGCAAGAGGGTGAGTTGCACATCAGAAAACATGGTGCCCACCCAGAGTCTGCCCTTTGTCCTTTTTCCTGCTGCACTGTGCCTGACTGATTTCTCAGTCACTGAGCTCATTCTACGCTGGTTTCCTCTCTCCAGGCTCCAGTGGACCCTGAGCTTTCCTTGTATGATTCGGAGGACAGCCCCAGTTACTGGGACTTAGAGCAGGTGAGCTGAGAGATGGCCTGGGAGAGTAGTGGGAAGGTATTGGGTGGATGGGAAATAGAGGGAGGAGGCAAGGAAGGAGACCCTCTCAGCCATGAGGTGTTCACTAGGTTCTCTCCCTTCCAAGGCAGAGCAGTCACCTTGAAGGCAGCAAACTTTTATTCTTATCTTTCTTTTAATAGCAGATCTTAATTCTTCTCACTCCCTGAAAGGCATCATGGGGGAAGGGAGTGACACTGGACCAAGTCCTAGAGAACTAATAATCTATTCTTAACTCTCCAATGCATCAGCCACATGATTTTGGGCAAGCTACACAACTCTCTCATCTGTAAAATAAGGGAAATGTCAATAATACCTATCTCACCTACCTCACAAGATGAATGGAGGATTTGTGTGTTCTTTAATTAATTTGGCAGATATTTATGGAGTGCCTGCTACTGGCCTGAAACAGTTCCAGGAGAGAAAGACCTCTGCCCCCAGGAAGTGTATTCTGGTAGATCAGATGAATTCTAGGGATTTGTGGGAATTATTATTGCGTGTGAAAAGGCCTTAAGAACTAAAAGCTTTGCAAATGTGAGGAGTTTTTATCCACACAGGGCCCTAAGGTCCTGATGTGAACATTAGCACTAACCCAATACCCTGAATTAAAAGAAACCAGATGACTAGGTTTAGAGATATCTGGCATCATCTCTATTAAAATAATCTCTTGAGCCTCTTGCCATTCTTTTTGGCCTTGAGTTTTGTAGTCCTCTGAACACATCTCTGTGAGTGTTTATGACATGTGGAGGACATTAGAAAATGGAGATAGAGCCAAAAAAATGTGGCAGATGATTTCTGTGACCCCTGGAATCTCTACCAAAAACCAAACCCACCACCTTGAGTCTATTCTGACTCGTGACAACTCCATGTGTTATGGAGTAGAACTAGAATCTCTAGCATTTCAAAAAACCTGGGTAGGACTCATGGGATAGCTTATAAGAGCAAGAGATTATAAGATAAAAGAACTTCAGAGTTAATCTACCACCCCCTTATTTTTCCTAATGAAGAAATTTAAGCCAAAAAGGGAGAGGAAGAATGAGAAAGGTCACAGCACATAGGATGTGAGGGGTAGCAATTCTCATGTCACCACTCTACCAGGTCACCTCTATGGCTACTGACCCTGCCTTCCCCTGTACTTACATACACACTATCTCTCACACACACTCACACACTCCCTCACACACACTCATAGACACACACTCACTCTCACAGTAACTGACACATACACATACACTCACGCACACTCATTTGATCTCACACACACACAGTCACACACATACTCACGCACAATGCCTCTTCCTGGCCAGTGGTCCAAGACTCTATCACATCTTGACTTCATCTACTCTGAACCCAACAGGTCTAACGCTCTCCTTTTCCCACCCCTTTCCTTCCTGTGGCCCTTGCAGGAGATGTTCGGGAGCATGTTTCACTCAGAGACTCTGACTGCCCTGTGAGAGCTCAGAGAGTTCCTATGCTACCTCCAGGAGTGCCTGGCACCTGGGACTCAATGAAGGATGAGCCCAGGACATGGAGTGGTGGGTAGAAGAGAGCACATGCACCAAGACTTTGGCTCCTCTCTCCTGTCCTCCTCCTCCACCTCCCACCTTTCCGTGCCTCCCTCCTGACATCTCTAGAAAGAGCCAACCTCAGCAGCATGGAAAGCCTGCTCTTACAGGAGTGAGGGCCTGGGGAACCCATCTTTCTGCCCTATCCCTGGCCCTCAGGGACCTGGCCAGCAATGAGCAAGCCTCTTGCTCACTCTACTCCACACACCCAGCCTACCCATGGTAGCCAACAGGGCCCCTGACTTTCAGAATTTTAGAGTGAGCCAAGAACAGAAGAGAAAGCATGACTGTGGTGACTTGGAGCATAAGCCTTGAGAGTGTCCTTGGGCCTGTGCAACTTGGATGTCAAACTTCCACAGGTCACAAGGACCCTGGTTGCAGCCATGAGGATTCATACCTACCAGGCACTGAAGTTGGTTAGGACTCTGCAGCTCTTCACCCCTGGAACTATGTGCTCCCCACAACCCCAGAGCCTCTGTCCCCTTCCTCTTCATTTCAAGGCTGCTGAGACCTCCGCTGCTATGTAGCACACCAGACTCTAGGCTGGGGAGTGGCTGGGGTCCTCAAGACCACTAGAGCTACCTTCCCAGGGATAGCCTCCCCACAACTGCTGCCTCAGCCTCCTGAAACATTATCAGTCCCCCACCCTCAGCAGCCATGCCCTTCCTCTGGAGCCTCGTAGGAACCAAAAAGGGGCAGTGGGGAATTCTGCTGCTGGCAGAATCCTCTGGCAACCTACCAATAGATACCAGTTATTTTGCACAAAGGCTTTTGGAAATCCCTCTTTGTACCTGAGACTTGGCAGGGGAAGGAGGTGCTAGTGCCAACCTAGGGCAAACTGGTGGGAACTGGGTCCTGACCATTTCCCTAACCCCAGGACCCATCAGGGAAATGTCTCCTGTCTTGGGAAATCTGCCTTTAACTTCATTTGGCAATGGGCCAACCACTTTAACTCTCCCCCATCAGCCCCTGGCCCAAGATCATCTTCCGGGAGGATGCTTTCTGGGGACCAGCTGAGTCCCCTAGCTGGGTGCAGAGTGTAGAGAGGGGCCAACCCAGGTGGGGCTTCCTCCATAGGGATTTCATAACAAACTCAGGACCTGTGTCATCTCCTTCTAGGAAAGCTGAGGATAGAGGGTAACTTCTCCACATATAGGGAGGAAGTAGAGGAAACCCCATTGTTAACTTGAAAATAAATAGGTTCCATGTGCAAGTATTTTATAAAATTTCCATGGAAGTGCACAGGAAACCTCTGGCTTCTCCCTATTGCTTCCCCCAAATTCCTTCAACTTAATGACTCCTACCCCAACAGGTTGGGCTGGTTCAGCCTGGAAAAAGTAACCCCATTCCTCCCTTCAGCCTGAGCTGTATTGTGTGTCTGTGTGTTGAATGAGCCAGTCTGCTAACAAGTCTTCTAAGAGTTAAAGGAGTGGGTACTGGCAAAGGGCCAACACATTCTTGGCCTAAGAGCATTGCTTCTCGGTGAATTCATTATGCCATCTGGCTGCCAATGGAACTCAAATCTTGGAAGGCAGAAGACAATGTTATCTGGGATTCACCATGCCCAGCACCCAAAGTGCCAAATTCCGGGAGGACAAGAACCTTAGCCAATGACAACCTACCCTCCCCTACTCCACCTCCTTCTAAGTCCAACTCAGGCATAGGAGTCGGAGGAAGGTCACAAAGCCTCCAGACATCCCAAACCAGAGGCTCACTTTGAGCCAAGTCTCTAGGCCCCTTGAGGATTTGATGAAGTGACTGTTAACCCCAGGCCAGCCGCTGAACTGAAGGGACTTGTTGATTCATGGTGATCTAGAGTTGGTCAGGGCTTAGGGAGGGATCCTACAACATGTCCATGGGAAATAAGTATTTCCAAAGCCCACTGCAGAGGTAGGATTGGAAGCACACAGGACAGAGAAGAGACAGCTAAGAAAACTTCATTGTTGGAATATTTTAGAAAGAACACAACAATTCACACAGACCACTCTTCTGAACATGATCAAGGCAGGAAGAGGGGGCAAGATAGCAAAGGAATCCAGAATTTCAATACTTTTGAATGTTCTTAGTGATACTAACCTGTGATAATGTGGTTCCCGGGGAGTGCCGGGACTGTTGAGATATTTGTGTAATTTATTTAATTTAAATGCCATTCTTCTTTTGTTCATTTTGTTAATAAAGTGGTTTTGAAATGTGAATGAATGAATGTGTTTTATGAAGAGGCAAAAAAGAATCATGCCCAGGTGGTCTTGTTTGGCACTATCCTGGAAGGAAGCAAAGATAAGGTAAGATCTCCTCATGAGGCTCCCAGCTCTTGTCTATATACTGGACACTCCTGGAGATAAAGAAGCTTCCACAATCCAGCTGAAGAGTGAAGGTCTGGAAGAGGAAGCCTGAGAGATCCACATTCCTGGGACCAATTCCCAGAGTCAACGCTGGCTTTTGTGGCTGTGTTGTTTTTGTTTTGGTGACCTTATATATAGTAGAACAAAATGTTGCCTGTCCATCTTCATGATCACTGGTATAACGGAGTTCATTGTTTGGGCTATTGTGTCAATCCTTCTCATTGAGATTTCCCTCCTTTTACTGACCCTCTACTTTAATAAATATAATGTCTTTTTCTAGGAATTGGTTTTTCCTGATGATGTGTCCAAAGTAAGTCTGTCAAAGTCTTGCCACCCTCACTTCTAAGGGCATTCTGGTTGTATTTTTCTAAGACTAATTTGTTCATTCTTTTGGCAATCCACAGTATATTCAATATTTTTCACCAGTACTACAATTTGAACACATCAATTCTTCTTCTGTCTTCCTTTTTCATTGTGTAGCTATAAGGGCAGTGAAAGTCCCATCACCCATTCTGGCCACCCTTCCTCACTCATAACTCTTCGACATTCATGAGAAGTCTATTAAGGGCCAAACCCAACAATACTCAGCAAAGCTTTCAGAATCTTTACCTTGAGAGAATGCACAACCTCTTCTCACCTTCCCCTCCCCTATTTGTGAGACAACATAACAGGAGTAAGACCACTAGACTAAAGTGTCCAGTGAGTTGGATTGAGTTCCAACTTTGTTTTCTAGCTGTAGGAAAAGGAAGAGGATGAGGAGAATCACAGAAAAACAAAGAGCAAAGAGTTGAAGGAAGAAGAAATAGGATGAAGTGGAAAGAGATGAAGGAATAGGAATAAGACAAAAATGAAGGAGCATTGGAATAGAGATACAAAGGAGATGAAGACCTAGAAAGGAGATACATGGGTCAAGGAACCAAACCAAACCAAACCCACTACCATCAAGTTAGTTCCGATTCACAGCCATCCCCATTGGGTTTCCAAGGCAGTAAATCTTTACAGAAGTAGACTGCCAAGTGTAGTAGTTAAATTTGTGTGTCAACTTGGCTAGACCTGGTTGAGTGGCTGGGCAGCTGGATATAGTTATTCCCCATGGTAACATTGGTAATTAACTCCATGGTGGAATGTATTGAAGCAGCTGAGTAGCTGCTTTAGAGATGTGGTCTGCTTCCCATATATAAGAAACAACTTTGGGAATGGTCTCTATCTTATGGCATGCTTGAACCCTGCCATGTAGCCATGTCATTGTTCAGCAGCCTTCCATGCTCTGCTGACCTTGGGACTTTCAATGGACTTGAGTTAATGGCCTGCCATATAGTTTGGTAGCATCAGGACCGTGCCTTTTTACTTGTCAACCTTGGACTTGTCAGTCTCAGCAGCCAGCAGCTATCTGAGTGAAGAAAAGCCTCTAGCTCCAGTGGGCCAGGAGCAGGAAGCAGAGCTGAAGCCCAAGGCTGAGGGGCTTTTGCCCAGCCTCTAGAGCCTTGCACTTTGAACTTGGATTTAAAGCCTCCAAATTGTAAGAATAAACTCCTTTTTGTTAAGGCCATCCCATTTATGATGTATTTCCTGTCAGAGCAGCTCTAGGTAACCAGAAGAGGTACAATATTCCCCTTGTTGTTCTTATACCCCACAACCTCTTGATGAACAGGGGTGTGGCCATCCCCTGCCTCCACCCACCTTTTTGACCAGCACCCCAGTCTGTACCCTGACAAAGCCTGGGAGCTATGCTCCACCCTCACTACAGTTTTGTTTTTGTTTTAAAATTATGCTTTTTATCTTGCTCCTTTTTGCTCTTTCCCATCCCTGGTTCTTGTTTTCTTTTTTCTTCTCTTCTCTTTTCCTTTTTCTCCCTTCCCTTTTCCTGATTCCCTTGTTTTTTCTTTCTTTTGGTTCTTCCCATCCCTTGTTTTTCTTTCTGTAATTTTCCCATTTTTTCTTTACTACTCTTTTACCCTTGCTCTTTTCTCTCATTCCTCCCTCCCCAGATATTGTGGCTATTTTTTTTCTCTCTTTTTCTCATTATCTTTCTTTATCCTTTTTTTTTTCTCATATGTTTTGAAATGTTTTCTTCTCATTTATTGCATTTCTTTTTTCTTTCTTTTTTTGGGGGAGTAACTGTTCCTGTTTGCTTATGTGGTTTAAATTTTTTATTCTCTTGTATTTTTTTTGGTGGTTTTTCATTTTTTTGTCTAACTGAGTGGAGAAAGCAACAATTCCCACACAAGCCAACTATACCTGCACCTCCTGCAGCCCAACCCATTGAGTGAGGGCTTGCTTTTCTACCGACTGACCAATAGACAGTGGCTGTTACCAGCTTGACTCACCCTCAACTGCTCTTTATGAACAGCTAACAGAGATCTGTGCACACTCATTCTCTATCACACCTACATGGAGACAGATGATGACTGCCTAAATGCTAACAACTAGTGACTAGAGTAGCATAGTACCCTACTCACACAGATATATCAAAACAAAATAAAGGGAGAAAATATCTTATGCAAATCACACCAACATTCAACCACAAATTAAACATAAATACAATAA